GTAGTAGTAGTAGTAGTAGTGGTAGTAGTAGTAGTCCTAGTAGTAGTAGTAGTAGTAGTAGTAGTAGTAGTAGTGGTAGTAGTAGTAGTAGTGGTAGTAGTAGTAGTAGTAGTAGTAGTAGTAGTAGTGGTAGTAGTAGTAGTAGTAGTAGTAGTAGTAGTAGTAGTAGTAGTAGTAGTAGTGGTAGTAGTAGTAGTAGTGGTAGTAGTAGTAGTAGTAGTAGTAGTAGTAGTGGTAGTAGTGGTAGTAGTAGTAGTAGTAGTAGTAGTAGTAGTAGTTGTGGTAGTAGTAGTAGTAGTAGTAGTAGTAGTAGTGGTAGTAGTAGTAGTAGTAGTAGTAATAGTAGTTGTAGTAGTAGTAGTAGTTGTTGTAGTAGTAGTAATAGTAGTGGTAGTAGTAGTAATCATTAATTATCGCCACTAACAATTTGCATTCAGGAAATCCCTACCATCAGTAATGACAGATTGTCTTTCTGGAATGTTGGGAACTGTTTTTGTTGTTGTTGATGTTTTTGTTGATGTTGTGGTTGTTGTTGTTGTTGTGGTTGTTGTGGTTTATGTTGTTGATAATATTGTGGTTGTTGTTGTTGATGTAGTGATTGTTGACGTTGTTGTTGTTGTTGTGGTTTTGATGTTGTTGTTGATGTTGATGTTGTTGTTGATGTTGTTGTTAATGTTGTTGTTGTTGTTGTGGTTGTTATTGTTGTTGTTGTTGTGGTTGTTGTGGTTTATGTTGTTGATAATATTGTGGTTGTTGTTGTTGATGTAGTGATTGTTGACGTTGTTGTTGTTGATGTGGATTGTTGATGTTGTTGTTGATGTTGTTGTTGTTGTTGATGTTGTTGTTGATGTTGTTGTTGTTGTTGTTGTTGATGTTGTTGTTGATGTTGTTGTTGTTGTTGTTATTTGGTATTACTATTTATATGCCATTCACAAATTTCAAAATTTCACGGCAAATCGACATCAAAACTATCAAAAAGTATATGTATATAAGAACCAAAAATAACAAATAATAACAATAATAATAATTATTATTATTATTGTTATTATAATAAACCAGAATTCTGTATTACCAGTGTTGGGATGTTTGGTGATGCTAGTTAGAAGCTGATTGGACCAGGCATCAAATTGGAAGGTTTCAACGAGGTACATCACATACTCGTCGAACATCAAATGGAGTAGGTGGAAGGAACCTTAAGGTAGATTTTGCAAGTTTTGGAATTAGTTTGATGTTTTTAGTTGATTTTGTTTTTTTTAATTTAAATAAATTAGCCAATTAGACAATCAATCAATCGCTCAAACAACAAACCAATCAAACTTCGCCAACCAACCAACCAATCAAACATTGTTAACCGACAAACCAACCAATCATACATCGCCAACTAGCAAACCAACCAATCAGACAGCACTGTTCAGCAGACAAACAAGCAAACCATCCAACCAACCAAACGTTGGTGAACTCTGTAAGGTCATATCCCTGATAACCCTTGACCCGTAACACGACCATGTCAACAAAAACTGCCTACATATCTCCCATGTGTTTGTCGGGGTTTTGGACGATGGCTGTTCATGTGTGTAGGTGTGTGTGTTTGTGTGTGTAGGTGTGTGTGTTTGTGTGTGTAGGTGTGTATGTGTGTACGAGTGTATGTGTGTGTGTGTGTCTGTATGAAATGTTTGTTTGTAGACAAAAGTTGGATTGTAGAAAGTTACAAAGACTTATTTAGAAAGCTGTAAATCAGAGTTTATTACGAAAATTATTAACTTTAAAAAAATCATTAATTTTCAAACAAATGCCTAATACAACAAATACAAAAACATACAACAAATACAAAAACATACAACAAATACAAAAACATACAACAAATACAAAAACATACAACAAATATAAAAACATACAACAAATACAAAAACATACAATCTTGACGCATCTTTCGACAATTGAGAAGAGCCACTGACAATAGGTTTCAATACAGACTTGTTCGTTCAATAGTTCTTCAAACTCCCTTTGCACTGTCAGCATGTGTGTGTATGTGTGTTTGTATGTGTGTGTGTGTGTTTGTATGTTTGTTTTTGTGTGTGTGTTAGTTTACCACGCCCACACACAGGCCAAAGAACTCTACAAACCAACGCCAAAAGCACTCCACACACACACACACACACACACACCAAAAACAGTCTACCTTAACATAGATTAACACACACACACATACACATGCCAAAAAACACTCCACACACACCAACACACGCCAAAAAACACACCACACACACACCAACACACGCAAAAAAAAACACTTCACACACCAACACACACCAAAACACACTCCAAAAAACAAACAGACTAACAAGTCGTGATGAGCTCGTAGTCTCTCTGCGAGTACTTCTCCATACTAAAGAGCGTCTGCTTCAAGACGCTAGTGAGGTCGACACACGACCAATCGTGAGCCATCTGTCGCAAGAGAAGCTGCGACGATATGACAGATTTGACGGCTTGGCATAAATGGTTCAGAGAAGCCTGTCTTCTTAGCATTTGGCTGAATTTGCGTGTCACTTAACGTGGGGTGTTTTTTTTTTTTAAGTTTTTTGAAATTTTATCAGTCAATTATTTTATATTTGTGATAAGTAAATAATGAATTGAAAAAAATTGATAAATAAATAATTAATTTGTTTACCAGTTATATGATAAATTTAATTATTACTTAATTGAATAATTATTTTTTTTTAGTAATATTGGTAGTAGTAGAAGAAACCGTAACTGAAGTTATAGTAGTAGTAGTAGTAGTAATAGTAGTAGCAGTAGTAGTAGCAGTTGTAGTAGTAGTGTCAGCAGTTGTAGTAGTAGTAGTAGCAGCAGTAATAGTAGTAGTAGTAATAGTAGTAGCAGCATTAGTAGTAGTATTAGTAAACCATAATAAACAAACTCCAATTGCTACAAATATTATTACTATTATTGTTAATAATATTATTATTATTATCATTATTATTATTAATAATATTATTATTATTATCATTATTATTATCATCATCATCATTATTATTATTATCAATGGTCTTAACTTTTAATATTATTTGTTGTACAATTTTTACAAATTTTATCATTGCGCATTATTTAATTAACATTAACTTATATATATATATATATATATATATATATATATATATTTATATATATATATTTATATATATATTTTTATCATTGTATGTTTTTTACGGTGAAAAATAAAAGATGTTCCCATTATTATTATTATTATTATTATTATTATTATCATTATTATTATCATTATTATTATAAGTATTATTATTTACTATCGATTTTCATCTGTTGTAGAATCTTCGGGAAATCCTGGATGGAGAGGACTATCCAATCCTCAATATGCCTAGCGAACTTCCTGATCATCTGAATCAGACTGATGATGATGATGGTGATGATGATGATTATGATGGTGATGATGATGATGATGATGATTATGATGATGATGATGATGGTGGTGGTGATGATGATGATGAGAATGATGATGATGAAGATGGTGGTGGGTGATGATGATGAAGATGATGATGATGAGGAGGATGACTACTTCTACTACCGCCACTACTACCACTACTACTATTGCTGCTACCACTACCACTACTATTACTACTACTACTACTACTACCACTATTACTACTACCGCCACTACTACTACTACTTTTACTACTACTACCACTACTACTACTACTAACACTACTACTTCTGCTACTACTCTAGCTACTACTACTACTATTACTGCCGCTGCTGCTACTACAGCTACCACACCAACGACATCAACCTTTCAGACACGGGCTGCAGGACAGAGGGCACCAAAACGTTGGCCAGACTCCTGTAGAGAATGCTGTCACAGACCCCGACAAGGTCAACCACGGTCCTCGAGTTCATAAGGGGCACAATGTGCTGTGGCATACCCCGCCAGAAGTGCAGTAAGAAACTTTGGATCTTGCGGTGTGTGTGTGTGTGTGTGTGTGTGTGTGTGTGTGTGATTGGGTGTTTTTTGGAGTGTGTGTGTGTGTGCGTCTGTGAGTGAGTGTTTTGAAATGTATATATACATATATATATATGTATGTGTGTGTATGTGTGTGTGTGTTAGTGAGTATGGAGTGTTTTTTGGAGTGTGTGCGTGTGTTTGTGTGTGTTTCTTGGAATGTAAGAATTTTTTTTCGATACAATTTGCCATAGCACGAAGCGTTGGCTCGAATAAATGAATGAAGGGATGATTAAATAAATGAATGAATGAATGGATGAACGAATGATTAAATGAATGAATGAATAAAAGACTAAATAAATGAATGAATGAGTGAGTGAGTGAGTGAGTGAGTGAGTGAGTGAGTGAGTGAGTGAGTGAGTGAGTGAGTGAGTGAGTGAGTGAGTGAGTGAGTGAATCAGTATCGCAAACAAGACACCAACTTCCTCAAAGTTTGCCCGTATGACGTTATCGAGGACTCGCTGGCAGTGCGTGCGATACATGACCAGGAATGTGGAAATCCTGTCTGTGGGGATGGATGGCGGGAGGTAGATGTCTTGGAGGTCCGGGAAGTTCGGGAGCATGGTGCCCAGTTTGGAGCGTGGCGAGTAGGAGTAGACCTTTATGGATTGATGGATGGATGGAGGACTAAGTGGAGAGATGGATTCATTCATTCATTTAGTTATTCATTCATTCATTCGTTCGTTCGTTTTTTCGTTCATTCATTCATTCATTCATTCAAACTAACTTGCTTCAAACTTTCTTTCTTGCCGTCTGCGTTACTGAAATTGAGAGAAAAAAATTCAACAAAAATCTTTAAAAAAAATCATATGAATTAATGAATTAATTAATTAATTAATTAATAAATGATTGAATTATTGGATGAATAAATGAATCAATCAATCAATCAATCGATCCATCAATCAATCAATCAGTCAGTCAGTCAGTCAGTCAGTCAGTCAGTCAGTCAGTCAGTCAGTCAGTCAGTCAGTCAGTCAGTCAGTCAGTCAGTCAGTCAGTCAGTCAGTCAGTCAGTCAGTCAGTCAGTCAATCAATCATTCAATCAATCAATCAATCAATCATTCATCCATTCATTCAATTATTCATTCATTCATTCATTCAATCAATCAACAAATAATAATAATAAACCCAACCTGAAAAATCCTTTCCTTGAATAGGCAAGGTCGAAGTAGATGGAAGATTCCTTGATCCCGACGCCATAGTAATGATACCTAATGACGATGGTGGTGATGATGATGATGATGAAATAATGATGATTATAATAATTATTATAATTATAATTATAGTTATAATTATAGTTATAATTATAATTTTACTTAGATTGTCCTCTGGTTCCCAGTCTTCGCGTTGTTATCTGAGGAAATTGCTGCCTAATTATCTAGCAAAAATAAAGTCAAAATTAAATTTATTATTATTATTATTTAATTTATTGTTATAAATAATATTATTGTCATCACCTTAATTATTATTAGTAGTAGTAGTATCATCACACTCACGCACACACACATACGCACGCTGGGGTAAAATTCATAGTGGGGTAAAATTCATAGTGGGGTAAAATTAATAGTGGGGTAAAATTCATAGTGGATAATTCATTGTGGTATTGTTATAAGGTATTGAGGTCCGGAGCGGAAATATTTGTGAAGCCATTTAATTAATTAATTATCAATCGAAATCGAACCCGAATTCATTTACTTAAATTATCTTGTGTTAGTTGTGTGGGGGCCAGCTGCGGTAAGTTCAATTTCTATCGTGCAATATAATACTAATTGCTAACTATCGTTTGACCGTTAAAATACCGAAATCTATCCACCATTCGGCCTAATTTGTCAATTAATTGCCAAAATTAATTCATTATTCGGCTTAATTAATTTATCGATTAATTGGTAGAGTTGTTGGTGTTGTGTTCGATTCCTGACCTTCGTCAATGCTGTCGTTCAATGAACAGTCTATTAATGAAATAACAAAAAATGTAATTTCAAATTAGCCCCACGATGAATTCCCCCCACGATGAATCCCCCCCACGACGAATTCCCCCCACGATGAATTCCCTCCACGATGAATTCCTTCCACGATGAATTCCCCCCACGATGAATTCCCCCCACGATGAATTCCCCCCACGATGAATTCCCCCCACGATGAATTCCCCTCACAATGAATTCTCCACACGATGAATTCCCCCCACGATGAATTCCCCCCACGATGAATTCTCCACACGGTGAATTCTCCACGGTGAATTCTCCAGGGTGAATTTTCCGGACGTGGATTCATGCACCACCACCCACATTGCTCGTGACACTGAGATGAGACCACCAGACAGAAATGTAAGTACAGACCTTTCCAAAGCTGGCGGCATTAACTGGCTGCGAGTCGTTCATGCCACAGTAGTCGAGGTAATGCATGTAGAGGGTACTCCGTGGTATGCAGACCCCTTCCGCCATTTCGTAGTTTTCCTCCAGCCTGTGTGCGTGCGTGCGTGTGTGTGTGTGTTTCTCTCTCTCTCTCTCTCTCTCTCTTCCTTCTCTCTCTCTCTTTCCTTTTTCTTTTCTCTCTCTCTCTCTCTCTCTCTCTCTCTCTCTCTCTCTCTCTGTGGGTGTGTGAGAAGAGAGATATAGTTTTTTCTACGTCTGTATGTTTGTATGTGTGTGTGTTTCTCTTTCTATCTCTCTCTCTGTCTGTTTGTGTGGGGGTGTGTATGTGTGTTTGTTTGTTTCTTTCTTTCTCTCTTTCTCTCTTCCTTCTCTCTCTCTCTCTCTCTCTCTCTCTGTGGGTGTGTGAGAAGAGAGATATAGATTTTTCTACGTCTGTATGTTTGCATATGTGTGTGTTTTTTTTCTATTTCTCTCTCTGTCTGTGTGTGTGTGGGGCTGTGTGTATGTGTGTGTGTGTGTGTTTATCTCTCTCTCTCTCTTTCTTTTCCCTCTGTGTGTGTGTGTGTGTGTTTCACTCTCTCTTCTCTCTCTCTCTCTTCCCTCTGTGTATGTGTGTGTGTTTCTCTTCTCTCTCTCTCTCTCTCTCTTTTTTTCTGTGTTTGTGCGTGCGTGTGTGTGTGTCACCATACTCTTCATCACCAGCATCTCACCATTTAAGGGTCAGTGGTGTGGAGTGCGGTTTTGAGGCTTGAGCTACCTGCATTTCATCACCTGTTCAAGATGATGATGATGATGATGACGATGACGATGGTGACGATGATGATGATGATAATGACGATGATGATGATGATGATGATGATGATGATGATGATGATGATGATGATGATGATGACGATGGTGACGATGACGGTAATGATCTTTTGAAATTAGACAATATAGAAGTTTGAAGTGTCGTAGGCGAACAATGATGCTCAACTCAATGACTTTTGTGGCACGCTCTCCAAACTCGTCATCGTCATCATCATCCTCCTCCTCCTCCTCATCATCATCATCGTCATCATCGTCGTCGTCGTAAAATTGAAAAGAACAAATAAATTGAAGATTAAAAAACCAAAGAATAAAGATGAATAAATAAAAGCAAAGATGTAAAATGAAATGAGATAAAAAAAATTATTTTCGGCATTCTGAAATAACCGGAAGTTGGTCATGGTTGCCTAGCGACGGCTGCTGATTCGAACGCTTGTTGTCATTTTTATTTACTCTCTCAATCTTATTCATTCTTTTTTTAATTTTTGAAAGAGAGAGTGAGAAACAGAAAAAGAGAGAGGAGGGGAGAGAGATTATTTTTTCTCACTTAAATTATTGTTCCTAACTTGATTACTCGTTCTTTCAATCATTTTCATTCCTTTTTCAAAATTCAAGAGTGGGAGAGAAAAAGAGAGAAAGAGAAAGAAAGAAAGAAAGAAAGAAAGAAAGTAAGAGAGAAAAAGAGAGAGAGAGAGAGAAAGATTGAAATAGACGAAAAATAAGAAAGAGAAAGAGAAAAAGGGAGAGAATTTTAAAAATTGAAATCATTCACTCTTTTTGTATTTCATCGCTCCATCCTTGAGGAAAACAAGAAATGATTATTATCTCATTCTTTTCTTTCTCTCTATCTATCCATCATTTTATTCATAATTTGTGATTCCATACGTTGCAGTCTGTCTCTCTCTCTTCCTCTGTCTCTCTCTCTCTCCCTCTCTCTCTCTCTTTCTCTCTCTCTCTAAAAATTTATAATTACTTTTTCCAAAATGCCTTTTTTCATCTTAATCAAATTTTTCAAAATTTGTTGTGAACTTTTACGCGCGAAAAATCAACTACAATCACCGCTATAGAGCCGTTAAAACGTATCATCTAAATAATTACAAAATTATTACAAAATAATACTAAATAATTACAAAATCATTTCTACATGATTATCACTAGAGAGGGGTTTGCGGGAATGCCTTACCCCCACCAGAAAATACCACAAAAAAATGTCATCCATATAAATATTTCGAAACCATTGGCACCTACTACAAATACCTACTCCTAATTACAAGTTGCCTTACCAATACTAGAACTTTGGCGGCAGTTTTTAATTCTCACAATGCTACTATGAGAATTCTGAAAGAGCAATCTCAACTACTTGTAGAATTTCTGGTACTTTTGAAGTATTTTCTTTTTCAAACTAAACAAAAAAAAACTTGGCGACAACAACTACGGCTGCTATTGCTGCAGCTTTTACCACCACCACCACCACTACCACTACCTCTACTACAGCTACTACTACTACTACTACTACTACCATTACTACTACTATTATTACTACTACTACTACTACTACTACTACTAATACTACTACTACTACTACTACTACTACTACTACTACTACTACTACTACTATTACTTCATGCCACGAGTTATGTAAGAAATAATTTTCTGGCTCAGCTGGCTATTGAAACTTTGATTAAAAATTGTTATGAAATATATATATATATATTAATTATTTGTCTCTCTCTCTTTCTTTCTTTCTCTCTTTCTCTCTCTCTCTTTCTTTCTTTCTCCATCTATCAATCTATCTTTCTTTCTTTCTCCCACTCACACGGTTTTTGTCTTAATAACGATACCCTAGTACACTTAGAAGTAATAGAAGTGTTAGTAAACATCAGTTGTTGCAGTATTAACATACAGTATTATTATTATAGTAGTACCGTCTAATTAATTTTCTCTCTCTCTTTCTACCTCTCTCTCTTTCTACCTCTCTTTCTACCTCTCTTTCTACCTCTCTCTCTCGTTCTCTCTCTCTCTCTTTATTCCTCCTCTTTCTTCTTCTACCCATCCTCTATTCTCCGGACTGACGATTGATTGCTGTTGCGCTTATGGGTGAAACATCGTCACATAATTGGACGTGTAATTGCTGCTGTTGCAGCTGCTATTTCGGCTTCAACACCACTTGTAGTAGTGGCTGTAGTAGCGGCAGTTGCAGCAGAAGCAGTAGTCGTAGTAGTAGTAGTTATAGCAGCAGTA